ACAAGCCACAGGTCTTTACCCACCCATCAGATCACCCCCACTTTGGGCGCCAAAATGTCGCAGGAACAACAAAACGTTTTGTGCATTGGGCTGATTTATTAGGTGTCCAGAAGGGTCCTGCGGGTATAACAAATTAAATGTTATGTGGCTTCGTGATGGTTCAGCATAGTGTGTGCTGGGCTCCTTGCACATGTAGTCTTTATAGAGGACAGTCATGTAACTTGCCTCTAAATAATTTGCAGGAACTGCATGTGCCAGGGACCAGGATGTACCCTGCAGACCACAAGTAAGACGGGTTGTTCAAGCCAATATTAGATTATTATGACGTATGGAGAAAAGTTAATTCCGATCAAAAGAGAAAGAATATTGCAACTGGACACGACATCTGACGATCTCATTGCTAGGTACAGAATGCCAAGAGCAGCTTTCTTTGAAACTCTAAAGGACGTAAGACCCTACACTAAGCTTTCCCATCCCATTGTCAAGTTACTTACCACCTAGAGTTTATTTTAAGCTATTTGATGCCCAAATACAGTCTATCCTTTTATACGGATTAGAACTTTGGGGTTTTAAAGAATATGAACCAATAGAGAAAATACATTTATATGCATGTAGTTTTTGAAGACAGGAATAAACAATCCAGACTGTATGGTATATGGCGAATGTGGAAGATATCCGATGTACATTAATGCATATATTCGTTGTTTAAAATACTGGTTTAAAATTTTAGAAATGCACGAAGACCGCCTGCCTAGAAAAGCATTCAAAATGCTACTTAATCTGGACAATCATGGGTACAGAACATGGGCCACAGATATTCGTTATATGCTATTTTATCACGGTTTCGGTTATGTGTAGTTGTATCAAGGTGTTTGTAATAAACATGATTTTTTAAGATTATTCCATAGAAAGTCACTCGATATGTTTCAGCAGGATTGGAGATCGACACTTGAAAACAGTTCAAGATATGTCATTTATAGATCTTTTAAATCGTTGATTGAACTTGAATTGTATTTAAATGTTATAACACACAAATATCTGCGCATAACATATTCAAGATTTCGTCTCGGATTGTCGGAAATAATGGTTAACATTGGACGACATCATGCTGTCCCGAAGCCAATGAGATTGTGTCCTTTCTGTCAAACTTGTATAGAGGATGAACTTCATATACTGCTTGTTTGTACTGTTTATACTGATTTAAGGGAAGCATATATTCCATCGAAATACCTGCGTTTATAAAATTTGTATTCATGTAAATCTCTGTTGAATTCCAATGATAGAAAAACAATTCTGAGGTTAGCACTTTTTGTTCATCATGCACTTTCTCGGCGCAAGAATCGTAAAGTATCGTGAGGTCACTTCGTAAAATAATTGTGTACATTCACTTTGTTACATTGTCTCCACATATGTATTGTATGCAGCGGTTGTACTCACGGATTTATTATCTTTGTAATCTTGTTTTGTATATGGGCCGGAGGCCTTAAGTACAATAAAACCTCTTGAACTTGATGCAATCAAAATAAACTTGCTACGGTCCCCTCCTCTACAGCAATTGAAGCCAACAACCTCTTCTTTCTATAGTTGGTGACAGTGTTTGAAAAGGCGGAAAAATCACATCACTGTGAAGTTTCACTTCATCAGCAAATATACTCCTTGCTGCTGAGGTTGTCCATCGCAATCGCTTCGGCTCAGTTGGCGTGACATTTTACAAGCACTTCAGTCGTCTGCGCGACTATCCGAGTGCTCGGAGAAAGGGATCGCGACCCTTGTGGCAATGGAGACGACTCTAGTGAGGAAACTTGGGAAATACCCATCTCCATTGCAAAAGGACCCGTGAAGATCCGGGGTAGAATAGGTCTTCAGCAATCCATGCTTGCCGTAAAAGGTGACTATGCTTGTCGTAAAAGGCGACTAATGGGATCGGATGTCAATGACTGGATTGTCTGGTTCAGACTCGATTATTTACAGGCCGTCATATAGCTGGAATATTGCTGAGTGCGGCGTTAAACAACAATCAAACAAACAAGCAAACCGTATTTAATATTCATAATATATTTCCAGCGTGCTCAGGGACAAACTGTTTTTTTTGTGAAAATGTATAATTCTTGAAATTGTCTCAAGATATCAAAACTAATAATAATTGGTCTTATACACATGTCGCTTCAATTTATACGATTTTTAAAATAAGTATATATTATATCAATCATTTTTCAGATTTATCTCAAAAGTTGATATGCGACAATTTGATGTGTATTTAGATTGTTTAATAAATCAACGGAACCATAAACATTGACACTGGAATAACTAGATGAATGAAGTTGTCAAGTGTGGGTGGGTTGTAATAAACAAATGAAATGAACGATAACGATAGTCCTTCCCCAGAGGACCGCCGTCATGGCTGGAATATTGCTGAGTGCGGCGTTAATCAACAAACCAACCAACCAACCATCCCGAGAATGACTTATAAATATATTTTATACTGAAGAATTCGTGATGTAGCGTACTAGACGATAGTCCAGTTTAAACCTACATGTCACTTAGCTGACATACCCCATGTGTTATTTATTATCAGTTATTTCAACTTTCAGACGAAACTCAGTTATACTATACTTTCTTTTGCTTCCTATGCCCACATGAATGTCGTCATTGTCATTGTCTTCAATTACCGTATTCGACGTAATAAGCGCCCCGCTCTAATAAGCGCCCACGGCGATATTTGCTAATATATTGGCTAGTGAACAACTCAATTAGCACCCCTTCCGATCAATGTACACAAGGCTATTTATACGTGTATAATACGCACTTGTGTGTTATATGCACCCTTAATTATAGGCAATTAAATCCTGGAAAATATATATGTCGCATATAAACATTAGAGGTTGTCAACATAAACCACGAAATTTACTTTCAACTGTTTTGTTTTCACCAAAATAATATTCCAATATGAGCCCCCTTTTTCTAATTTTGAGAGCGCCCTGGGCGCTTATTACGTCAAATACTGTACGTGTTTATTATCTGAACGTGTGGGGACTTAAACCTCGCACCGCACATGATTCTATCTATATTAACATTTACAATACATGCAGTCTCACAGTCTGATTGGTGTGTGGTGTTGTCGCACATGACAAATCGATAGCGGAACGAGTATTCTTGCAGCTTATGTAAAGGGGTGCCTTGTGACGAATGGGCAAATGTTGTGAAAAGGTGTTTAACATGACCTTCAAGATTATTGCACCGAAGTGGCGACCATACCGCAGTTTAAGGCCGATATCCCCCTCAGACAGTATACTGACTTCGAGCCGACCATTTCTTGTTTTTGTTCTACATAGCGGACCCGTGAAGATCCGGGCTAGAATAGGTCTTCAGCATCCCATGCTTGCCGTAAAAGGCGACTATGCTTGTCATAAAAGGCGACTAACGGGATCGGGTAGTCAGGCTCGCTGACTTGGTTGATGCATGTCATCGATCCCATTTGCGCGCGTGGATCGATGCTCATGATGTCGATCACTGGATTGTCTGGTCCAGACTCGATGATTTTACAGACCGCCGTCATATAGCTGGAATATTGCTGAGTGCGGCGTTAAACAACAAACAAACAAACAAACCTACATACCGAGCGCAATATAGAGTACCCTTTAGCATCTTCAGGTATGACGAAGCCGGGGATCCATCCCCCGACCTTCGAGTCCGTGCAGATGCTGAATCCACTGCAAAGCGGAGGCGGTCCTATACAGTGAACTACGTTTATAACGAACACGCGTATTACGAACTGACCCATATAACGAACTTTTGTATTAGTCCCGGCCACTTGCTGTATATATGCTTTATATATGCTTATAACGAACGACGGTTATTAAGAACTAAAATTATTGGCCCTCCGAGTTCGTTATAGCGTTGTTAAGTTACACCGGAGTAGCTTTGAGTGAGTGAGTGAGTATGGTTTTAGGTCGCTTTTAGCAATACTCCAGCGGGTGGCGCCAGAAATTGGCTTCACACATTGTACCCATGTCGGAATCGAATCCGGGTGTTCGGCGTGACGAGCGAACGCTTTAACCACTAGGCTACCTGACCGCCCCTGACGGATGCCTGTACTGATGAGGTCTGGACATGACAACTGTGTGATAAGATTACCAAGGTCACGTGTCATTGGGGTCGGATGAGACACAATCAGGAGCCTGACTACCCGATACAATGGATGGACACCTATTGAAAAGCGAAATCCTCGCGGGGATTCATTTCATTGATAAAACGTATGTTCATAAACTACATGTAGCTAAGGCAAAGTCAGGCCTAATAATTGATATAAATACACTCGTGTTTAAATAGGAATGACGTGCATTATAGATACCCAGTACCCAATGACTGTTCAGAGATCAAACGGAATGTGATCGCTGAGTTACAATGTCACTTTCACGTATGTTCGTCAACCAACACCGGCTTTATCTTGTTTGTGTTATAATCATCTGGTGTATTTGTCCAATGGTTTGACAATATCCACGCTGTAATACTCCTGACTACATCAACAATGACTGATTTCCGATAAAGTATATTGACCGTTCTCTAATTGGTATCTCACTATCTCAACACAAATACAAAATCACTTTTATCCTTTAAGCTTGTTCCTAAATGAGTCTCCTCACATGTACAACGTCATGGCGTTATGGGAACTGAATAGCACAAAACGATAACAGCGCTGTGGCGTATCGCGTGTAGGATTCCAAACGGAATTGATGGACATCATGGCAGCACTAACAAGATTACAGCTCACACACATGATCGATAATTATACCCTGTTAATGCAGGTATATTTTGTTAACAGATAACGTTTAATCGTGTATCAACGTTTTTAATAGAGGTCTGAGTTAGTGCTGTGTGTTTGTGTTGCTCTCAATAAATCACGATTCAATCACAGCTTCTGCGCTAAATTAATAGCCACAACCGACTAACCTCCATCGGTAGTTCAGTTCGTGATGTGTCATTCACAGCGGTAAACACACATCGATGTTGAAGGGTCAATACCTTGTTTGATACAGGCTAAACACATTCTGCCCGTTACCTGCATATGTTCGCTGTTTAAAGTCGTCATTCTTTAACTTGAACTTCAACAAGATTTCCCAAGCTGGTAAGTTGGCTTACTTCATGTTGTCTGGTACGGTCGGCATATTCGACACCTTGTTTGTATCATCTGTCCTGTCCTGTTACCATTCTTCTGACATCACTAGGTAGCTTCCAATTACTGTTCTGTTTCTTCTATTCGCCCATCATTGGGCCTCCGGTGGCCAAGTCGTCTATGGCGCCGCAATTTGCAGGGCAGAGTTGCGTCCCTCAGGCGCTCCAGAAGGCTTTGATCGTAGATTCGAATCCCGTTCGCTCTGATTATTGTAAGCACCGTACATGTCCTACTGTTCACCAAAGCAGTAAATGTCTAAAAGCTAACATGCCGTGATATCTCTGGAAGAATGTCCGAAGGGGTGCTGCACCCTCATTTGCAACGCTAGTTTGTGGTTTTCATATCTGCCGTACCGTTTCCTCTATTCAACCATAACTGTGATGTGTCCCCTCTTCAACATCACTGTTCCGTTTCCTCCATTCTCACATCAAAGTTCTCTTCTCCCTATTCTGACATGACACATCAGTGTTTACTATTCAACCATCAGACCTCTGTTTCCTCTAGTCAATCGTCACTGTCCCCTATTCTGCCGTCACAGGTCTCTTCTCCCTATTCTCCCGTCACAATTTTCTTCTCCCTATTCTGCCGTCACAGGTCTCTTCTCCCTATACTGCCGTCACAGTTCTCTTCTCCATATTCTGCCTTCACAGGTCTCTTCTCCCTATACTGCCGTCACAGTTCTCTTCTCCATATTCTGTCGTCACAGGTCTCTTCTCCCTATCCTGCCGTCACAGTTCTCTTCTCCCTATTCTGCCGTCACAGGTCTCTTCTCCCTATTCTGCCGTCACAGGTCTCTACTCCCTATTCTGCCGTCACAGGTCTCTTCTCCCTATACTGCCGTCACAGTTCTCTTCTCCATATTCTGTCGTCACAGGTCTCTTCTCCCTATCCTGCCGTCACAGTTCTCTTCTCCCTATACTGCCGTCACAGGTCTCTTCTCCCTATACTGCAGTCACAGTTCTGTTCTCCCTATTCTGCCATCACAGGTCTCTTCTCCCTATACTGCCGTCACAATTCTCTTCTCCCTATACTGCCGTGACAGTTCTCTTCTCCCTATACTGCCGTCACAGTTCTCTTCTCCCTATACTGCCGTCACATTTCTCTTCTTCCTATACTGCCGTCACAGGTCTCTTCTCCCTATACTGCCGTCACAGGTCTCTTCTCCCTATACTACCATCACAGTTATCTTCTCCCTATACTGCCGTCACAGGTCTCTTCTCCCTATTCTGCCGTCACATGTCTCTTCTCCCTATATTGCCGTCACAGTTCTCTTCTCCCTCTTTTGCCGTCACAGTTCTCTTCTCCCTATACTACCATCACAGTTCCCTCCTCCCTATACTACCATCACAGTTCCCTCCTCCCTATACTGCCGTAAAAGGTCTCTTCTCCCTATTCTGCCGTCACAGTTCTCTTCTCCCTATACTGCCGTCACAATTCTCGTCTCCCTATACTGCCGTCACATTTCTCTTCTCCCTATACTGCCGTCACAGTTCTCTTCTCCCTATACTACCGTCACATTTCTCTTCTCCCTATACTGCCGTCACAGTTCTGTTCTCCCTATTCTGCCGTCACAGGTCTCTTCTCCCTATACTGCCGTCTTAGGTCTCTTCTCCCTATTCTCCCGTCACAGGTCTCTTCTCCCTATACTGCCGCCACAGTTCTCTTCTCCCTATACTACCATCACAGTTCTCTTCTCCCTATACTGCCGTCACAGGTCTCTTCTCCCTATTCTGCCGTCACAGGTCTCTTCTCCCTATACTACCATCACAGGTCTCTTCTCCCTTTTCTGCCGTCACAGTTCTCTTCTCCCTATACTGCCGTCACAGGTCTCTTCTCCCTATACTGCCGTCACAGGTCTCTTCTCCCTATACTGCCGTCACAGTTCTCTTCTCCATATTCTGCCGTCACAGGTCTCTTCTCCCTATTCTGCCGTCACATGTCTCTTCTCCCTATACTGCCGTCACAGTTCTCTTCTCCCTATACTGCCGCCACAGTTCTCTTCTCCCTATACTACCATCACACTTCTCGTCTCCCTATACTGCAGTCTTAGGTCTCTTCTCCCTATTCTGCCGTCACAGGTCTCTTCTCCCTATACTGCCGTCTTAGGTCTCTTCTCCCTATTCTGCCGTCACAGGTCTCTTCTCCCTATTCTGCCGTCACAGGTCTCTTCTCCCTCTTCTGCCGTCACAGTTCTCTTCTCCCTATTCTGCCGTCACAGTTCTCTTCTCCCTATACTACCATCACAGTTCTCGTCTCCCTATACTGCCGTCACAGGCCTCTTCTCCCTATTCTGCCGTCACAGGTCTCTTCTCCATCTTCTGCCGTCACAGTTCTCTTCTCCCTATTCTGCCGTCACAGTTCTCTTCTCCCTATTCTGCCGTCACAGGTCTCTTCTCCCTATACTGCCGTCTTAGGTCTCTTCTCCCTCTTCTGCCGTCACAGTTCTCTTCTCCCTATTCTGCCGTCTTAGGTCTCTTCTCCCTATTCTGCCGTCACAGGTCTCTTCTCCCTATACTACCATCACAGTTCTCTTCTCCCTATACTGCCGTCACAGTTCTCTTCTCCCTATACTGCCGTCACAGTTCTCTTCTCCCTATACTACCATCACAGTTCTCGTCTCCCTTTACTGCCGTCACAGGTCTCTTCTCCCTATTCTGCCGTCACAGTTCTCTTCTCCCTATACTGCCGTCTTAGGTCTCTTCTCCCTATACTGCCGTATTAGGTCTCTTCTCCCTCTTCTGCCGTCACAGTTCTCTTCTCCCTATACTGCCGTCTTAGGTCTCTTCTCCCTATTCTGCCGTCACAGGTCTCTTCTCCCTATTCTGCCGTCACAGGTCTCTTCTCCCTCTTCTGCCGTCACAGTTCTCTTCTCCCTATACTACCATCACAGTTCTCTTCTCCCTATACTGCCGTCACAGGTCTCTTCTCCCTATTCTGCCGTCACAGGTCTCTTCTCCCTATACTGCCGCCACAGTTCTCTTCTCCCTATACTACCATCACAGTTCTCTTCTCCCTATACTGCCGTCACAGGTCTCTTCTCCATATTCTGCCGTCACAGTTCTCTTCTCCCTATACTGCCGTCACAGGTCTCTTCTCCCTATTCTGCCGTCACAGGTCTCTTCTCCCTCTTCTGCCGTCACAGTTCTCTTCTCCCTATACTGCCGTCTTAGGTCTCTTCTCCCTATTCTGCCGTCACAGGTCTCTTCTCCCTATTCTGCCGTCACAGGTCTCTTCTCCCTATTCTGCCGTCACAGTTCTCTTCTCCCTATACTACCATCACAGTTCTCTTCTCCCTATACTGCCGTCACAGGTCTCTTCTCCCTATACTGCCGTCACAATTCTCTTCTCCCTATACTGCCGTGACAGTTCTCTTCTCCCTATACTGCCGTCACAGTTCTCTTCTCCCTATACTGCCGTCACATTTCTCTTCTTCCTATACTGCCGTCACAGGTCTCTTCTCCCTATACTGCCGTCACAGGTCTCTTCTCCCTATACTACCATCACAGTTATCTTCTCCCTATACTGCCGTCACAGGTCTCTTCTCCCTATTCTGCCGTCACATGTCTCTTCTCCCTATATTGCCGTCACAGTTCTCTTCTCCCTCTTTTGCCGTCACAGTTCTCTTCTCCCTATACTACCATCACAGTTCCCTCCTCCCTATACTACCATCACAGTTCCCTCCTCCCTATACTGCCGTAAAAGGTCTCTTCTCCCTATTCTGCCGTCACAGTTCTCTTCTCCCTATACTGCCGTCACAATTCTCGTCTCCCTATACTGCCGTCACATTTCTCTTCTCCCTATACTGCCGTCACAGTTCTCTTCTCCCTATACTGCCGTCACATTTCTCTTCTCCCTATACTGCCGTCACAGTTCTGTTCTCCCTATTCTGCCGTCACAGGTCTCTTCTCCCTATACTGCCGTCTTAGGTCTCTTCTCCCTATTCTCCCGTCACAGGTCTCTTCTCCCTATACTGCCGCCACAGTTCTCTTCTCCCTATACTACCATCACAGTTCTCTTCTCCCTATACTGCCGTCACAGGTCTCTTCTCCCTATTCTGCCGTCACAGGTCTCTTCTCCCTATACTACCATCACAGGTCTCTTCTCCCTTTTCTGCCGTCACAGTTCTCTTCTCCCTATACTGCCGTCACAGGTCTCTTCTCCCTATACTGCCGTCATAGGTCTCTTCTCCCTATACTGCCGTCACAGTTCTCTTCTCCATATTCTGCCGTCACAGGTCTCTTCTCCCTATTCTGCCGTCACATGTCTCTTCTCCCTATACTGCCGTCACAGTTCTCTTCTCCCTATACTGCCGCCACAGTTCTCTTCTCCCTATACTACCATCACACTTCTCGTCTCCCTATACTGCCGTCTTAGGTCTCTTCTCCCTATTCTGCCGTCACAGGTCTCTTCTCCCTATACTGCCGTCTTAGGTCTCTTCTCCCTATTCTGCCGTCACAGTTCTCGTCTCCCTATACTGCCGTCACAGGTCTCTTCTCCCTATTCTGCCGTCACAGGTCTCTTCTCCCTCTTCTGCCGTCACAGTTCTCTTCTCCCTATTCTGCCGTCACAGTTCTCTTCTCCCTATACTACCATCACAGTTCTCGTCTCCCTATACTGCCGTCACAGGCCTCTTCTCCCTATTCTGCCGTCACAGGTCTCTTCTCCATCTTCTGCCGTCACAGTTCTCTTCTCCCTATTCTGCCGTCACAGTTCTCTTCTCCCTATTCTGCCGTCACAGGTCTCTTCTCCCTATACTGCCGTCTTAGGTCTCTTCTCCCTCTTCTGCCGTCACAGTTCTCTTCTCCCTATACTGCCGTCTTAGGTCTCTTCTCCCTATTCTGCCGTCACAGGTCTCTTCTCCCTATACTACCATCACAGTTCTCTTCTCCCTATACTGCCGTCACAGTTCTCTTCTCCCTATACTGCCGTCACAGTTCTCTTCTCCCTATACTACCATCACAGTTCTCGTCTCCCTTTACTGCCGTCACAGGTCTCTTCTCCCTATTCTGCCGTCACAGTTCTCTTCTCCCTATACTGCCGTCTTAGGTCTCTTCTCCCTATACTGCCGTCTTAGGTCTCTTCTCCCTCTTCTGCCGTCACAGTTCTCTTCTCCCTATACTGCCGTCTTAGGTCTCTTCTCCCTATTCTGCCGTCACAGGTCTCTTCTCCCTATTCTGCCGTCACAGGTCTCTTCTCCCTCTTCTGCCGTCACAGTTCTCTTCTCCCTATACTACCATCACAGTTCTCTTCTCCCTATTCTGCCGTCACAGGTCTCTTCTCCCTATTCTGCCGTCACAGGTCTCTTCTCCCTATACTGCCGCCACAGTTCTCTTCTCCCTATACTACCATCACAGTTCTCTTCTCCCTATACTGCCGTCACAGGTCTCTTCTCCATATTCTGCCGTCACAGTTCTCTTCTCCCTATACTGCCGTCACAGGTCTCTTCTCCCTATTCTGCCGTCACAGGTCTCTTCTCCCTCTTCTGCCGTCACAGTTCTCTTCTCCCTATACTGCCGTCTTAGGTCTCTTCTCCCTATTCTGCCGTCACAGGTCTCTTCTCCCTATTCTGCCGTCACAGGTCTCTTCTCCCTATTCTGCCGTCACAGTTCTCTTCTCCCTATACTACCATCACAGTTCTCTTCTCCCTATACTGCCGTCACAGGTCTCTTCTCCATATCCTGCCGTCACGGGTCTCTTCTCCCTCTTCTGCCGTCACAGTTCTCTTCTCCCTATATTACCATCACAGTTCTCTTCTCCCTATTCTGCCGTCACAGGTCTCTTCTCCCTATTCTGCCGTCACAGGTCTCTTCTCCCTATACTGCCGCCACAGTTCTCTTCTCCCTATACTACCATCACAGTTCTCTTCTCCCTATACTGCCGTCACAGGTCTCTTCTCCATATTCTGCCGTCACAGTTCTCTTCTCCCTATACTGCCGTCTCAGGTCTCTTCTCCCTATTCTGCCGTCACAGGTCTCTTCTCCCTATACTGCCGTCACAGGTCTCTTCTCCCTATTCTGCCGTCACAGGTCTCTTCTCCCTATACTGCCGTCACAGGTCTCTTCTCCCTATTCTGCCGTCACAGTTCTCTTCTCCCTATACTACCATCACAGTTCTCGTCTCCCTATACTGCCGTCACAGGCCTCTTCTCCCTATTCTGCCGTCACAGGTCTCTTCTCCATCTTCTGCCGTCACAGTTCTCTTCTCCCTATTCTGCCGTCACAGTTCTCTTCTCCCTATTCTGCCGTCACAGGTCTCTTCTCCCTATACTGCCGTCTTAGGTCTCTTCTCCCTCTTCTGCCGTCACAGTTCTCTTCTCCCTATACTGCCGTCTTAGGTCTCTTCTCCCTATTCTGCCGTCACAGGTCTCTTCTCCCTATACTACCATCACAGTTCTCTTCTCCCTATACTGCCGTCACAGTTCTCTTCTCCCTATACTGCCGTCACAGTTCTCTTCTCCCTATACTACCATCACAGTTCTCGTCTCCCTTTACTGCCGTCACAGGTCTCTTCTCCCTATTCTGCCGTCACAGTTCTCTTCTCCCTATACTGCCGTCTTAGGTCTCTTCTCCCTATACTGCCGTCTTAGGTCTCTTCTCCCTCTTCTGCCGTCACAGTTCTCTTCTCCCTATACTGCCGTCTTAGGTCTCTTCTCCCTATTCTTCCGTCACAGGTCTCTTCTCCCTATTCTGCCGTCACAGGTCTCTTCTCCCTCTTCTGCCGTCACAGTTCTCTTCTCCCTATACTACCATCACAGTTCTCTTCTCCCTATTCTGCCGTCACAGGTCTCTTCTCCCTATTCTGCCGTCACAGGTCTCTTCTCCCTATACTGCCGCCACAGTTCTCTTCTCCCTATACTACCATCACAGGTCTCTTCTCCCTATACTGCCGTCACAGGTCTCTTCTCCATATTCTGCCGTCACAGTTCTCTTCTCCCTATACTGCCGTCACAGGTCTCTTCTCCCTATTCTGCCGTCACAGGTCTCTTCTCCCTCTTCTGCCGTCACAGTTCTCTTCTCCCTATACTGCCGTCTTAGGTCTCTTCTCCCTATTCTGCCGTCACAGGTCTCTTCTCCCTATTCTGCCGTCACAGGTCTCTTCTCCCTATTCTGCCGTCACAGTTCTCTTCTCCCTATACTACCATCACAGTTCTCTTCTCCCTATACTGCCGTCACAGGTCTCTTCTCCATATCCTGCCGTCACGGGTCTCTTCTCCCTCTTCTGCCGTCACAGTTCTCTTCTCCCTATATTACCATCACAGTTCTCTTCTCCCTATTCTGCCGTCACAGGTCTCTTCTCCCTATTCTGCCGTCACAGGTCTCTTCTCCCTATACTGCCGCCACAGTTCTCTTCTCCCTATACTACCATCACAGTTCTCTTCTCCCTATACTGCCGTCACAGGTCTCTTCTCCATATTCTGCCGTCACAGTTCTCTTCTCCCTATACTGCCGTCTCAGGTCTCTTCTCCCTATTCTGCCGTCACAGGTCTCTTCTCCCTATACTGCCGTCACAGGTCTCTTCTCCCTATTCTGCCGTCACAGGTCTCTTCTCCCTATACTGCCGTCACAGGTCTCTTCTCCCTATTCTGCCGTCACAGGTCTTTTCTCCCTATATTGCCGTCACAATTCTCTTCTCCCTATACTGCCGTCACAATTCTCTTCTCCATATTCTGCCGTCACAATTCTCTTCTCCCTATTCTGCCGTCACAGGTCTCTTCTCCCTATTCTGCCATCACAGTTCTCTTCTCCCTGCTCTGCCGTCACAGTTTTCTTCTCCCTATACTGCCGTCACAGTTCTGTTTCCTCTATTCTGCCGCCACAGTTCTGTTTCCACTATTCTGCCGTCACAGGTCTCTTCTCCCTATTCTGCCGTCACAATTCTCTTCTCCCTATACTACCATCACAGTTCTGTTTCCTCTAGTCAATCGTCACTGTCCCCTACTCTTTCGTCACAGGTCTCTTCTCCCTATTCTGCCGTCACAATGTTCTTCTCCCTATTCTGTCGTCACAGGTCTCTTCTCCCTATACTGCCGTCACAGTTCTCTTCTCCCTATACTGCCGTCACAATTCTCTTCTCCCTATCCTGCCGTCACAGTTCTCTTCTCCCTATACTGCCGTCACAATTCTCTTCTCCATATTCTGCCGTCACAGTTCTCTTCTCCCTATACTGCCGTCACAGTTCTCTTCTCCCTTTACTGCCGTCACATTTCTCTTCTCCCTATACTGCCGTCACAGTTCTCTTCTCCCTATACTGCCGTCACAATTCTCTTCTCCCTATACTGCCGTCACATTTCTCTTCTCCCTATACTGCCGTCACAGTTCTCTTCTCCCTATACTGCCGTCTTAGGTCTCTTCTCCCTATTCTCCCGTCACAGGTCTCTTCTCCCTATACTGCCGTCACAGTTGTCTTCTCCCTATACTGCCGTCACAATTCTCTTCTCCCTATTCTGCCGTCACAGTTCTCTTCTCCCTATTCTGCCGTCACAATTATCTTCTCCCTATTCTGCCGTCACAGTTCTCTTCTACCTAAACTGCCGTGTCAGTTCTGTTTCCTCTAGTCTGCCGTCACAGCTCTGTTTCCGCTATTCTGCCGTCACAGGTCTCTTCTCCCTATTCTGCCGCCACAGTTCTCTTCTCCCTGTTCTGCCGCCACAGTTCCTCTAGTTTCCTCTATTCAACCATCGATGCTGTTCATTTTACTCTATCTTGCCACCATTCTTCCTCTATTCAACCATCACTGTTCTGTTGCCTGTATTCTGACATAACAGTTCTCTTCACCTAGGCACCCGCCTATGTTTCACTTGAGTTTTACAGTGAGTTGTGACTCTCTATGTTTCAGAGGATGCTTGGCATTGCGACACCCATGCTGTTACTGTGTGCCGTGTGTACACAAAGCCGATTCTTTAAAGGTGAAAATTATGTGTCTCGTACATTCTACACTCATTGAAACATCAGACCCCTGAATATCCGGGGTAGAATAGGTCTTCAGCAACCCATGCTTGCCGTAAAAGGTGACTATGCTTGTCGTAAAAGGCGACTAACGGGATCGGTTGGTCAGGCTCGCTGACTTGGTTCATGCATGTCATCGTATTCCAGTTGCGTGGATCCATGCTCATGGTGTCAATCACTGGATTGTCTGGTCCAGACTCGATTATTTACAGACCCCCGTCATATAGCTGGAATATTGCTGAGTGCGGCGTTAAACAACAAATAAACAAACAAACAAACATTGAAACCTCAAAAAGAACAAAATACATACGCGGTGTAAAAAAACATAGTAGCAAGTATATTTGTGTACTGAGTGATGACAAGTCCCAATTATGATTTATCGATCAGCACTAGGTCGTGATATGTGTTTCATCGATCAGATAAAGGAACATGAACTTTGTGGTATTTCCTCCTACATCTGGGCTTGGTCGTAGCGCCGCCAGTGGCTATTACCAGTTATGTCCCCTCTAAGCCTCTCCTATGGACCAATCAGATTCCTCCTCTCGTATCACTTTCGTTTGCTTCACACAAAATGGTGGCGCCCAGTCGGGACGATCTGATCGATAATCAAGATCTATATTGTGATAAAACGGGTCTTACTTCGCGAAATGCATCAAATCACGTGAGCACCTTGATTAAAAACATGAAGAGATTTGGAAAATATCTGTTGACAACGAGTTTGCAGTGCACTTGCTTTGCAAATCCTGCAATCGACCGAAATCTTCACGACAATTTACGAACCGGATTTCGTTGCGCGATTTTGATTGGACTATGCATAGACTCAAGGGTGGAAACTGGACCTTTATCGTCAGTTAACTCCCTTGCCTCGGGAAGATGGTACTCATCTAGGCAGACTCACCATTCATCTCACTTATTCATATGAACATAACAATCCACGACATGGAACACTTTGTCTGCAACTGCTCTAGGAGCGGCGGGGTAGCCTTGTGGTTAAAGCATTCGCTCGTTACGCCGAAAACCAGGGTTCGATTCTCCACACTTGTACAATGTGTGAAGCCCATTTCTGTCGCCCGCTGTGAGATTCCTCAAATAATGCTTAGATTGAATCATTCACTCGCCATAACCAAATCCTGTTCGCAAATAGCGACCGACCATTAAATGTTTTACCTTGGAGAAATTTTGTTTCTGGTTTCACACCAATAGTTGTTCACTGTATGTCCTGAAGGGAAATGTGTTGTGGGTTCCCCTCAGACAGCCCGGCTGTTCTTTGCAGGGAAAGACATCATACGCAGTGACAGTGACAATTTCGTGTCTCCGACCTAACTTCCACCCCACACACGTACCCCACACCCCAGCATATGAACTCGTCTGTTTTATTTGCCAGCTATGGTCCCACCCACATTGCCGCTGGACGAGGGCCCCACTCTGGGCCTTTACTTTGACCGCCCCTACTTCTTGTATTGTGAAGCGAGTGGACAACCAAAGCCATCGTAAGTTACTCGAACCACTACCACTATTACTATCACAACCACCACCACTATTATCACCACCACCACCACCACCACCACCACCACGACTACCACTACCACCACTACCACTTCTACCACCACTACCACTATTACTACCACAACCACCACCACTATTATCACCACCACCACCACCACCACCACCACTACCACTTCTACCACCACCACCACCACCACCACGACTACCACCACTACCACTATTACTACCACAACCACCACCACCATTATCACCACTACCACTACCACTTCTACCAACACCACCACCACCACTACCACTATTATCACCATCACCACCACCACTATTATCACCACTACCACTACCACTATTATCACCACTACCACTACCACTTCTACCACCACGACTACCACTACCACCACCACTACCACTATTACTACCACAACCACCACCACTATTATCACCACCACTACTACCGACACCACAACCATCACCACAACCAACACCACTACCACCACCACAACCAACACCACTACGACCACTATCATTACCACCACCACAACCACCACTATCATTACCACCATCACTACCACCACTATCATTACCGCCACCACAACCACCACCACTATCACAACCACCACCAAAACCACCACCACCACCACAACCACCACCATCACAACCACCACCACCACCACAACCACCACCATTACTATCATTACCACCACCACCACCAACACTACCACCACCACCACCACTACAACCACCACCACAACCACCACCACCACCATCACCACTACAACCACTACCACCACCACCACCACCACAACCACCACCACCACCACCACTACAACCACTACCAGTACCACCACCACCACCACCAACACTACCACCACCACCACCACTACAACCACTACCAGTACCACCACCACAACCACCACCACCACAACCACCACCACCACCACAACCACCACCACCACCACCACCACAACCACCACCACCACCACCACCACCACCAACACTACCACCACCACCACCACTACAACCACCACCACAACCACCACCACCACCATCACCACTACAACCACTACCACCACCACCACCACCACCAGCACTACAACCACTACCAGTACCACCATCACCACCACAACAACAACAAACACCACTACCACCACCACCACCACCATTACCACCACCACCACTACAAACACATCCACAACCACCACCACCACCAATACCACCACCACCACCACAACCACCACCACATCCACAACCATCATGACTACCACCACCACCACCACCACCACAACCACAACCACAACCACCACCATCACCACTACAACCACTACCACCACCAACACCACCACAACCACCACCACCACCACCACTACAACCACTACCAGTACCACCATCTCCACCACCACCACAACAACAACAAACACCACTACCACCACCACCACTACCACCACAACCACCATCACTTACACCACCACCAACACATCCACAACCATCACCACTACCACCACCACCACCACCACCACAACCACAACCACCACTACCACCACCACCACCACCATTACCACCACCACCACTACAACCACTACCACCACCACCACCACCACAACCACCACCACCACAATCACCACCATCACAACCACCACCATCACCACTTCAACCACTACCAGTACCACCACCACCACAACAACAACAACAAACACCACTACCACCACCACCACCACCATTACCACCACCACCACTACAAACACATCCACAACCACCACCACCACCACTACCACCACCACCACCACAACCACCACCACATCCACAACCATCATCACTACCACCACCACCACCACCACCACCACCACAACCACAACCACAACCACCACCATCACCACTACAA